GTAACACTATAATGTGCATTTTGGCCTGTATTTTTTGTTAGTCAGAGGAAAAAAAAAAATACTATATTGATATAGTAATAAAATAACAGAGCTATTGTGCAGGTTGATTTGTAAATAAAACATCATCAAAATCGTCAGAAATATGAAGTTAAAAAGTAAGATTTACAAGTAAAAAATGAAGAAAAATGAATCAAATACATTCACTACATTTTTAGTGTAATCACCTAATTTAAACAAAAAAGAACGATGAAGAGAAGAAATTAAAGAGTAAAATAACACCTTTTCATGCTATTTATAGCTATGGAAGTTGAATTATAATTAAAGTGTAAGAGGACTTCCACCAGATCTACTGTATTTTTGTTCAAATTTGCTCGGAAACGATGATAAAATAATCAAAATCTGCAGATCTAACTTTGGAATTCGCCGGACAGACGGATTCAAGCTAACGGAGATTCACCAAACGGAATTTTTGAGAATTTTGAAGGAAATTAGATATATATAAGAATATCAGCGGAATTAGAGATTAGATCTAGATTGAATCCCTTTTTTTGTTGACAGATTGCAAAACACAAAAGATAAGGTGAAAAGGAGAAGAAGAGAAGGAGAAAAAACGATAGAAAAATCAGATGAAAAGGAGAGAGAGAGAGAGAAGCGTCTATATGTACTTTTTAACACCCGACTTTTTAAACGTGCAATTTACGCGTCCGTCTCCATATAATATGCGATATTCATGAAGATGGAGAATGAATCAGCAAAGAAACCTAACAAAAGTACATGTAATTAACTCTCGTACATCTACTAGCACATGTTTTTTTTGTTCCTTACTTGGCTCTCGTTTTTTTTTTTTTTCCACTAAAAATCATTTTCTCAAGTAAAGAAAAGGAGTCATGCGGAAACCAATCTGAAAACCTCATTGAGAAATCACAAGTTTAATTCCCCACCGGTACAAATAAGCAACAACTTCTCTTGCTTTCATCTCAAAGAAAAAAGAATAGATTAATATATAGTATTTCAATGTATGTCTCGTTTTCATAATAAACTAAAAAAAAAAATAACATAATAAACTTTTAAGTGGGACAAAGGAATCAATTATAGTATTTTTCTTTTTTTTTTTTTGAAAAATTTCAATTTAGAGGCAAATGAAAAATGTGTTCGGCCTGGAAGAAACTTTTTCTTTTTAGTATGATGTTAATTATTGTTAATAAAGGAGGCAATCTAAGTATCAAACTACATATATATATATATATATATATTTTATAAACGAGTTGCTATGCAAAATAAATTAGGAAGGGCCTTGGATATTAAAGATTGAGGCCTTGTTTGATAAACCAATTCAGTACTTAAACTTATTGATTAAGTGCTTAATTGATTAGCACCGTTTGATAACACAATATCATAACCACTTAATTGATTAAGCATTAAAAATTTAAATTTTAAGTGCATTTGATAACTCAAAGTAGAATGTCTCAACTAATTAAGTGTGTCTGAAATGCTAGTACAAATATGGGTCTAAAAATAGGTGATAGGCCCATCACTTATGTCTGAACTGAATTCTTGAGATGATTGTTTTCCTGTTTAGTTACTTTTATGTCTATATTTTTTATATTTTATCTTGAAATAATTTTATTAATCTTGATTTTTACTTTTATGTCTATATTTTTGGTTATATAAATTATTTTTATTTAATAAATATTTATTTTAATATAAAAATTAAAAATCCGAATAAATTCCATGATCAATTATATTTGCCATAAAATATGATATTTTTTTGATAATGATAAAGATATGACATTATTATTAACTGAAAAAATAATTACATAATAAAATTTAAATATTTTTATAACATAATTTTATAATAATACTATTATTTATTATCATATTTTTATATGAATCAATTATTATTTTAGATAAAATTATAAGTTGAGATACTTTAAATTTCAGTGTTCAGACTTCATATTTCAGACATTTTATTCAGTTTTCAGGTTTTGAATTTTATCAAACAAGAGAAACTTAATCAGTTCAGTACTTATGATTCAGTTTTCAGATTTCAGACTTCAGACCCAAATTAAGTTTTATCAAACGGAGCATGAATGCTAGAAAGTGACATTGCCAAGTAAAGAAGTAATCGTACCAACAAATGCTATTTCTTTTGTATATTCTGCATATTGATCGAGATATAAAGCGATTATATTTTATACTGCACCTGATATACTTGATCAACTAGCCAAATTGTTTACAAAGTGAGAACTAAATTAAAAGAATTTTAATTCTTCCCTTCTTTTCCTCTCTTTCATTTAGCCAATTAGAACACTAGCTTCTTAAAAAGAAAAGAAAACAAAAGAAAAGCGATACTCCAAATATCCTTCTCAAGGGCTCTTTACAACAAAGTCTTTGTCAAACACAGAAAAAAGAACAAGAGATGAAAATAGAAAGACAGGGAATAAAGAAAAAAGAGGCGAAAACACGATTCAATATTTATCAACTTTAATCACTATAGGAAGCCAGCTTAGTTTATTCTGCCGACTTGTTAATACTTCTTTACTAGCTCCTTAATTTTGAACAAGAGTAATAATGATAGAGACAATAAACTTGTGAAAGAGATTTTTCATGGTGATTAAGATATGCGCCATTTTAGAATATAAGTATTGACAGAAACATAAAAAATATCAAGAAAAATTTAGTGAAACGAAAATACAAGAAAGTTAACTCTATTCATTACAAGGTGAAATACAATCGGGTGTTTTGATTTAAACATTCCACATAGGTTACACTATTTTTAATAATTCTGTCATTTTTCTTTAAGGATAACAATAAAGAAGATTATTAAAATAATAAAACGAGGTAGTAAAAGACATGTCATCTATAAAATTTCAGAATTACACTTGTTATGTTATAATTTGAAAAGTATGATTTTAATTTTAGCTACATATCTATAATTAAATCTTGATCACTAATGAATAACTGAAACATTAAATCACCAAAAAAAATAAGGCCTCTATTCTATCTGTCTATCATTAATATTCTTAGTTTGCTTTTTCTTTTTATTTGTTTTTTTTTCCTCCTCCATGTTCTTGTCTTTTTATGAATGACAAGAATGAAGGTTAATTACGAGACAATCAAACTCAACGACATCGATCATTATTACCACTTGTCATAAAAAAATAGTTTATTTTTACATGTGCTTTTAATTGGTCGAGTTTAGATGAGTGCACGAGGCCTTTTCTAGTAATTGCCTGTTATGATTGCCTTTGTATTATTCTTATGGCATACAATGCCAATAGTAGAAAGTTGAATAATCATGGTTTCCAACATGATCTTCACTTACAAACACTTTAAATTAAATCAATGATGATGAGATTGTGATATTTTTTTTGCTAAACCATCAAGGAAAATACTCAATTACATTGATTAGTACGTAATTGACTGAACAAAATTGGTATAATAAATGCATAAAAGTCAAATTAATCAAGAGTAAAATTAACCATTTTGTTCTTTCATGTATTAAAATGTGACTCACTAGTGATTAGAATGTTTTTAAAGGTAAGCGACCAAGGACCCGTCGAGTGACTTTTTCATTATGGTAATTTGACCAAGTCCAACTGATTAATTAGGTGAGGAACAAGGGTTCCTTGGATTTTTAGTTGGTTTTGTGAGGTTAGTGAAAAGAAACTACTACTACTACTACGTACTGTTGAAGAAAAGTGGGAAATGCATCAAAAGCATTTCAATCATTTGGTGAAAAGCAAAATTACATGCATTTATATAAATGCCCATATAGTTAGCCAATCGATGGCCCCCACCAATTTTTTTCATAAATAAATTGGCCAGCTAATTTTGGAATCCTCCCATGTCAATCTCAAATTGCAAAAGGACAAAAAAAAAACAAAAAAAAAACCCTTAATTGGCTGAAGAAGAAGAGTGAATAAATAAGTAATGGAGAACAACAAAAACATCGCCAAAAAGCGAGGCAAATGTTTCAGTTTTCACGTGAGGTTTGTTGTTTTAATTTTTTTTTCTTGTTGTTGTTGTGTGATTTCAAATCTGGAAGAAACCCCTTTCATGCACACATAAATCTTTTTAGTAGTTTGGCTCATGAATGACATTAATTGATTCTCTTTTCCAACTTTTTTTTTTGTACCCCAAAATTAATAAAAAGAAAATGAAATGCCACGTTCCGTTTCCTTTTTTTATTTTCTATTTTTGTGAGATTAATTGAATAGAACCCTGAAGAATCTCCGGGCCCTAACTTTGTTTCTGTTTCCTACGTTGTACTCTTTTTCTCGCACCGTACGATCACCGATCTTTAGCAATCAATATTGGTTATGTCTCAAAATAATTATCATATTTGTTAGAGTAAGAAATGAAGTAATAAACAAGTCGATTCTATTTTACCATCTCAACCAGCCAAAACCTCAAGCTGGTTTGAGTCACGGCATCAATAAACCGTGGGAAACGAAGTACATATCACCAAAGGGGCGAAACTTCCTAGCCAAAATGGCCTCTCTTTTTCTTAAGAGCGTTACGATATGTCAAGTTAGACCATTGTACTTGGGAATTTTGACATGGTAATTATACAATATGTTATAGGCTAAACGCATTCAGAAAAGCGTCATATAATTCGACAATTTAGATATTATTTTCTCTTTTCTTTTATTTACGGATTTACATCAAATCCCGAATATAAAAAACGTGCAACGTGACGATTGCTTGCTGGATGAAAATTTCACCCTCAACAAAACAATTTTTTAGAAAAATTGAGAAAAAAGGAAAAGGAACAAGAAAAGGTAATAGTTCCATTTCCAGTAAGTATATGTCAGTAGCTACTCAATGGAAGGCAAACTTTACCACCGATAAAAATAAGTAAAACAAGTATCAAAAGAAATTTGATGTATATAAAGGGTATGTTTCCATCATCACCACATGATGCAATTTCTTGTATGGTCAGCAAAATGATTCGTTTTCCAACAGAGTTGGTTGAATTTTTGCAGAACATACAGTAGCTTCAATTAGAAATTTTCCCAAGTAAAGAAGCCAAAAGATTTTAACCACATCCAAAAAAAAAATAAAAAACACACACACACACACACAGGATAAAGGACACAGAAGATTCTTCAATTTATTTATTTAATATTTACTGTAATTCTTCTTCCTGTCCATGATCATCATGACATTCACCGGCTCATCACACAATTAAAATATTGGTCAAATTCATGATGATGATGATGCAAAAGAAAGGGAACTTCCATAATAACTAAACTAAAAATTAGCAGCATTAATTCAACAATAATTACAAACTTTTTAATTGGGCAGTAATTAATTAAATTCAACTATGATCCCACAAAAACAAATCCTGATCACTCCACAATTCACCATGGATACTGGAGCCCTGATCAACAACAACTGTAGAAGAAGAAATAAGCTGCCATGGAGAATCATCATGGTAGGAAAATTCAGCAAATTGGTGATGATGATCTTGGCTGAGGTCGAAGAAAAGATCAGGCAAATCAAGAAAAGGGTCATCTTGATGATGAGAATGATGATGATCATCAGCATTTTGGCTTAGTGGTGAAGCTGAAGAAGAACAAGAAGAAGAATCAGAAGAAGAAGAAGATGTTACTGTACCCTCTGGAGAACAGGGCAATTTTTCCTCTGTTTCGTCTCTGCCGCCGGAAATGGCCAATGAGGCAGCCTGAGCCGCGGCGGTTTGGATGTCTTTGGGCAATTTGGACGCCGGACGGGGCAATTGGTGAACCAATTCCGGGAAATTCAGAACGGCGGACTTACCTTTGATCGCAACGGCGGCAACATCATGGGCTCGAGCAGCCATTTCAGCAGTAGCAAATGTTCCTAACCAAATCCTGGATTTCTTCCTGGGCTCCCGGATTTCAGACACCCATTTTCCCCAGCTCCTTTTCCGGACTCCATGGTAGGTGGGATGATGATGCTTCTCTTTCCCATTTCCATGATCATCCTCATGATTCTTCTGATCGGCCATTTTCATCCCCTGTTTTTTCCTCTGTTTCTTTTTTCAGTGGCTGAAACTGAAAGTCTTCTTAATTGGTGCTTCGTGTAAAGGAAGTTTGTTGTCACACTGATTATCAATGCTATTGAGCTTTTGCCCCCCCTTATTTATATAATTCTAACTTAACATGAACTTCTTTTTTTCCCTTTTTATTTTTATTTAATTTGGGGGAAACAAATAAATTAACATAAAATGGAATAAAGTCAAAAAATATATAAAGAACTGGGGCAGATGGGCCAAGGATCAAAACTGTAAAGAGTGACAGATGGAAGCGGTATTTTTATAGTTTTTATATACTCACCATGTTGATCGCACACTATCATGATGCTTTTTGTTTTTTCTTCTCCTATATTTTACTAATTAGGGTGGTAATGTTAAGGTGTAAAATGATAGGAGTAGATTATTATTGTCCCGATAGTGAGACTCAGAGGCCTCACCTGGTTATTCATTTAAATATTACGTCTGTCTTAAAATTATTGTTTATTTTAATTTTTAGTTTAGTTCAATTTAAATTAAAAAAATTAAAATTTAGACTGAACATAATTTTGGGACGAAGGGACTAAATCTGTTTTTCTTTTTTTCCTTTCAGTTCGAATAACCTCTTTCTATTTTTCTTTTTTTTCCCCTTAAAAAAAATAGAAAAACAATCCCTATAATTAGCGAAAGAAATTACAAAAAGAAAAATGTGCAACTACCTTTATCGGTGAAAATTTGATTGGACGAGACACCCTCTAATTGGCCAGAAAATATTACAAGATGTTTATTATCAGAATAAAAAGGGGAAAAAAAGAGATAAAGATACTGACTTTATTTAGTAAAATTATTCAACAATACATAAAACAACAAAATAAATGACCGTGTATCATTGAAAATATGAACGATCCCATCTCATTAAACCTATGTTTGAAACGTTTTTCACAGGATATATATATATATATATATGTATATATTCATTGGTTCTCTATAATATTACTACTATTACTCTCTACTACAATTATCTAAGAACACCGATCAAGAAGAAATGATTAACTTATTCTCATTCACTAAAACACTAAATTAGTATTACACAGAAAATTTCGGAAACCTAGAAAGACTTCCTCGGCTGGTGAGGTTTTATTAAAATGAGACATCAAAAGAGCAAGAAGCAAATTGTATATATACTTGCAGGCAATGTGTGAATAGGGTTGGCCTGATTTCTTCGAATCGTCAGATATAATAATTAATCGAAATTTAATTACTAGTTAAGACAAATATAATAATTAATCGTCAGATTCTGACCCCCAAGGAAAAGAAAAAAAAAGACTTTGAATCGGTATCACGTATTTATCAATTAAGTAAACTTTGTGATTCGAAAATTATCAAAATAAAAATCTAATAATTATATTTTTGGGTGGTCGGAAATCAAGTGGAAATGAAATTAATGATACTTCAGTAGTATCCACATCTTTTTTTTTTTTTTTCAAGTTGTTTAGGTTGCTATTATGCTACAATTTCTTCGCATTTTTTCCACGTGTATTGGTCGTTGAGTCGTACATATCAATGACCTCATAGAAAAAAAACTTTTACTACGTCGGAGCAATTAAAAAAAATTGAAGTAGATAGTACGAAAAGAGGCAATGTATGTCGTTTTTTTTTGGGTTAGTACTACGTAGCAGTAATTAATTATTAATCAATTAATTAAGTAACCGTCGGAATGTCACTCCTACACCCCAACGACCTACAGAAAATCTAGTAAAATCACCAGAATATATTAATGTTGGTTATGGACCTTATGGTCCCTCAGTATATTATACAGTAGCGTCTAAAAAGGAGTAAATATAGTTAAAAGCGTAAAAGGGACGACCATATAAACTTGTTACAAACAGTAAATAAATTAAGATGCATAATTGGGCCAAATTAACTATGAACAACATCCAAATTATGTTATAACAAAGCAGCGGTTACTATGTTTGTTGAGAGGATTTGATCCCTCAAAGAGATCTATGAATCTTGATGAAGATTAGTATGAGTTTGAAATGTAATATTAATATTATCTCATGATTCTTGTATATAGATTTAAAAAAAAAAGCATGAAAAGGGGTGCTTGGTAAGCATTTTTAAATTTTTAGCTCAGAATTCTAACCTAAAATTCATTAGTATATATGCATCGTTAAATATTGTTCAAACTTAAAAGTTGGAACTAGTACCCTTCATTAAAATCAGCATGTTCTTCGTGACACTCTACCTGACATGCATGAATAACTTTTTGGAGAATTAATTGAGACTATAATGTTTATTACTTTTTTTTTTAACTGGAATACTTCCTCTGTTCCAAAAAAATAGTCCACTTTGAGTTTTGAAATTTGTATTGTTTTTAGTTCAAATTTGAAAGTAAATGTTGACTATTTTTTTGGGACGGAGTTAGTAACTCAGAAATGTACTATGTACCATACATGAATATAAGAGAATTATATGTATCTCAAAATAATGGTCTTATTTTTCTATAGTGATAGAGATTAATAACAAAAAGCAAACTCTTACTTTGATCAAAGAGTATTGCTTTCCAACCCTTTCATTAATTGTGGAAATAATCAAGATTAGCTAGGAAAATGTAAAATCTTCATTCTTTGGTTAAAACAAGAAAGAAGAGAAAGGATTAACCTCATATTACATGCAGCAAATTCCAGCTATATAAAGTATACCTTATTACTCTGTTCTTTCTTTTTTCCCCCTTTATCTATTTTTTTTTATTTTGAGGAGACCTTTTATTTTTCTTTGAAGAACAATTTTTTTATATTATTTTTTATCAATTAATACTCTCTCTGTCCTCTCTCTCACTCTCTTTTTTTTTGGGTAAAGAAGTTGATACTTTTCCATGACAAGATGAATGTGCATGGTGCGCTTGTTTGTGAAGCCAAAGAGCACTGTTAGAGAAGAAAGCATGATGGAGGGGGAGATGAGGTGTTATAGAGCACTAGCAATACTTATAAGGACCACATTTTTCCATTAGATAGTGAGATATTCTTTGCTAAAGTTTGTCTCCTTTCCATGTACGATGTAATAGAACTTCTAAAAGCAGAAGCGATATTATTAAATGGTTAAATGTACATACTTATGTTCCGGGTTCATGGAACAAGGATTCATCATAACTCCTTCCATTTTCGTGATACACTATTTGTTACTCATTTTATTGGGCAGCCTGTTTTTTTTTTTTTTTGTTGTTCATTAAGGTCGAAGAATTAAAAATTTTATTTTAGCATAATAATGTTTTAGAGTGTTACCTCCCATGTAATATCAAGGATGCATTATATTTTTTCTCACAAGAAAAACGAGGTTTCTTTTTGTTACAACTTACAATGTAGAGTCTCACCCTTATCGTTATTGATCATATTATGGGGATAAATACATATGATACTTCTAAGATATGATACTTATCGTTATTGATTTCATTATCCAAAAGAAAAAAAAAATGTTGATTTTACCCAGCGGAGGTTCCTACCCCCCCCCCCCCCCCCCTCTCCCCCCCCGCGTTACAATTTTAACCCATAAAGTTAACTCAAAAGAGGTCTAAAGAGAGAGTGGTTTATTAAAAACAAAAAATTGAAAGCTCAAGGCATAAATTTATATATATAGACAGCAACAATACGTACTTGTTGACATCATGATTTTTCCTGCGAACAAGAGGGTAATGTTATAAGCAAGAATGATAATTTTTTTTGTTTCTGTTATAGAAAACAATATATCATCCGATCGACTTTCCCCGAATAAGAAGGTTACATTGTAATTCAAGTTTGCCATTATTCTATAGTGCCATGCATATAAACACGATACTAAAGAATTAACAACATATGTATTAGTAGTTGTCGGATCGCTGTCTTAAGAATTGGTTAAACCCTGGAATTAAAAAAATTCGTCATGACATGAGCATGTACTTGGTTTAACACAAAACTGCAGTTGCCACTTGCCAGGTCAAGGTTGAACTGATAATGAATGTGGCCACAGAATTAGATGTTAATTTCAGTTTGTTAATTGTTAGTATCAAATAAGAGCTAGCTAACATGGACTATAGATAAATATATATTCCCTTTGGTCAGTCAAATCTTTTCGACAATCGATCGATCTCAACAGATATTACTTTAATTCCATTTTCATTTTTTTTCCTGTAAAAAAAATGATATAAGATCAAATTGCTTAGTTGTTGGAATTAATTTGGTCCTCATAATTATTTAAAGTCGCTGATTACTTGAGATTGGTCAAAGAAGTAGAGCATATGCTATGATGGTGTCATCATTATAATACTCCCTCTGTCCTATAATTATTGTTCAATTTTACTAAAATGAAAAATTTTATTTTTGGTCAAATTTAACTATATTTTACCTTAAACAACCGGATATACCCCTACATAAGTAATTGTTTAACCACTAAAATTTTATGGATAATATTTTTTACTAAGGACAAATGTGTAACTTGATCCATAAAAAGTCAAATTGGACAATAATTTTGAGACAAAATTTTTTGGGCAAAGTGGACAATAATTATAGGACGGAGGAAGTATTTATTATCAAAGTGGTGTTAATTAACATTTATTGACGTTTATTTTGTACGGAGTATCATCATCCTTGTGATTGGTTAAGTCATTTCTTTAGAATTCAAGTTGGTTTCGTGTTTTCCCAGGTCATTGGACTGTTAATATTTAATTTGTAATTTAAAAAATAATTAATCCATTAGGTCTCAATATCTCACGAAAAAAGATCTCGAATCTCAGATAGTAAACTAACGTATATCTTTTAATTAGCTGGCCGAAATTCTTAGTTGCAAGAAAACTAACTTAGAGAATGTGGTTATGAGTCTCATGAATTTAAAATTTTGCTTCATTAACAACGACCATTTGGTGGAATATAATTCAATAAATCTATTGCATTCCTTGAGAATATTTCTTCTCGCTTTTCTTTGCATCTGTACATAAATTTAATATGGATTATCAACTACTCCATCAGTACGTATCTCTAAATACTCTCTGTCTCAAAATTATTGTCCACTTTGATATTTCATTTTTAATACAATTTAAACTAGAAATAAAAATTCAAACTAGACAATAATTATGGAATGTATGGAGTACATATTATCTTGTTCCATGCAAGTTGATCAGACTTTTGTCAAGTACGTACAGAAGCAAATT